TAATGTGTGTGTGTGTGTGTATATGTTTCTTCGGCTCTTCATATACACTTGCACATATCCCAAGAACTCCACAACACACACACAGAGAGAGACTGACTGAGCTATTTTCGATTCGATCATGCAGTTTTATGCACCACATACGGTGGTAGTGCATCATTTAATTGTGCTGTTATTAATCAAATTAACGGTAAAACACAATTTGTGATCTACATTTTGCCCGCATTGCCACCGCCGTCATCGTCGTCGTCGTGTGAACGTGATCATGTGTGCTGGATGATACACTATGTTTTATATGCTCGCTTCAATGCGTAGCATTTATCTCTTACAAACAAATGTTCGTATTTGTAAGCAAGATGGGAGCGAGAGAAAGATATTTTATTGTGGCTCAAGAAAGAAAGCATTTGAATGAATCGGCTGGAAATATCAAACAAATTGCTACTTTTATTGTTGTTGTTATTCACGCTCTCGCTCTATTGTATTGCTGTTACAGCATCACAGCCCAGTTTATTCCATACTACTACTTATTTCTCCTTCTGTGACCCGTTTCACCGAGCACAGCAGTGTGATTCAGAATCAGAATTCTCTTAATCGACTCAGCATCGAGCTTGAGCATGTCTAAACCACTCACTCACTCACTCACTGAATCCGTCTCAACAGATCATTCTCTCGCAATCAAACGTAAAAAGAGCACAATTCACAGCACACTTGAATAAATTTGTGATGAGAGATCGCGTCATAAAAACAGCACAACCGAATATATCATCGTTAAAACAATAAAATAACAACAACAACAGCAAAACGATACAGCTGCGAAAAAAGAAAGAATCAGTGATTTTGAGTGAATGGCAAAGAAAAAGAAATATTTGTTGTTCGTGCACAAGATATACATTCACCGAAAGAATACGAAATTTGAGCAACGCGACACGAAAAATGCCATAAAAATAAAAGAAAAGAATCAAGATTTCGACGAATGAACAGAAGGAGTGAAAAAAAAAATCCAAATCAACTTATAAAAATATGGAACGTGCAATCTGATGTTAGGATTATCTTCATACAAATTCAGCGCACATACAACTCATTTGTCCCTCTCTCTTTCTCGCGATTTATATAAATATGCAAGTGTGTGTATATGCCTTTTTGTAAAATACAAACGAAGTGATTTTAAATAATCACGGTGCGCACATGACACACTGTCAATGAAAGAGATCTCTTTGTGTACGCGAATTTTGTTTTTGTTCAATGGCTTCAACTGTATCTATGAAAAGACTTAAACTGAAAATCAATTAGGTTTTGTCTTCTATATTTATTTTCTTTCTTTTTGTCTTGTTGTTTACTATACACATTCGGGTGAGAATTATGAGCTGATACGTTTTTGTTTTTGTTAATGGCTTAAGCAAGTCTCCTGTCATAAATTCATACACCGACAGAAACAAAAAAAATGCGCGTCGTCATATCGTTTGTCTTGCTTCTTTAGCCTCAATGCAAACGCGACGACGATCGTTTTTCGATTGTTTTGTGTCTGTTTTGCATTTACCGCCGATGTTTTCGCCGTTATGAATCGGTGCCAGCGTATCTTTGTATACTCGTTTTTAGCACTACATGAAATGTAGAGCTACTAATCTGCGTTTTTTTTTCTAATACTTTTTCGAGCCATGAACAGAATTAGAGTGGCTTTCAATTTTATGCTCATATTTTGTATTCAATTCAAACTAGTGGCAGTAACGACAAACAAGTGCATAGTATCTCGAAACGCTAATCAAATTTTTATTATCAAATGTTGTTTAAAATTTACATTACTTTTTCCTTCTTTTGTATAGTATTCTCCGAGTCTTGAGCATAATGAAAGTTAATTTAGATTCTATGGTCATATTATTTATTTAATTTAAAACAGTGGTAGTATCTTTCAAAATAGAAATCAAACCAAGATCTTGCAATTCATTTTTGAGATAACTGAGAAAATCTTTTTTCTGTATCAACTTTGTTGCAAATATATATCCTTCGTATTATGTTTTTAATCCATAATATTATTAAAAGGGACGCCTTTTAATGATATATTACTGCAAAGTTACTTAGATGAAATATATTTCATGTAGTGCGCAAAAAAAGTAGTTTGTTGTGAAGCAACAAAGTAGAATAAATAACTGAAATCTCAAGAACGCAGAGCGGAGCGATGCGAAGCTCTGCGGTCTTGTTTTTCCCTTTATTATTTGCCTCAGTGAGATTTGCCGTTGACTGTCCAACTGTATTTGCGAGAGAGAGAGAGCACGAGCTTACACGTTCGCATTTATGTGTGATTTTTGTTGAGCATTGAATCGTCGAGTTGATTTTAAACGAATCGGACGTACGTCTTTTTTTCCGCTACGTTTTTCTGCAGCGCGCTGTTGTTGTTTTTTTTTATTGCGTTTTTAGTACACAGTCCCGGTGAAACATTATCTAAGCCGGCTAATTCGTCTCTATATTCAGGCCATTTGGATTGCTGTGCGCCTATATATACATTTTGATTGGATGTTGCCTCTGGTCGTGTCATGACATTTGCAACTCTGGTAAGCGGTTTACAGAACGGTACATAAACTGCGTTTTAACTCGTTATGTTCGTGCTGGTGAGTGTGTGTTTGTGAGTGCTTGTTGTGAAAAACTAACAAAAACAAGGTTATAGGCTGAAAAGCGTTGATCAAGTGTTTATTGAGGAAATTTCGCGGCTCATTTAATCGATTTTAACGATCCGATGCTAATTATACATTCACTTCTTTTCGAAAAACAAAATCTACCTGACCAACGAAGAGGAACACATCAGAAAAGAAGATTACATTGATTACATCCAAACACACATACACACAAAATTGGATCAACTGTACGAGCCAAAAGAACGTACTTATGAAAGACAAAAACAACACATCTCAAGTCAAATCGTGAAAAAAACAGTGGATTTTGATTGGTCTGTGAAAATTTTAATAACTAAATTCACAGTTGTTGTTCCGATCTTTATTTATAAGTTCGATGACTCACCTCTTATTTGTTGTTGTTGTTTCATGATCGTTGCGCAAATCATTGGCGTCAAATGACATTTTTTGCGCCCTATAAAACGGTGTAAAAACTGAATAAAATAACTTGGCGAGAAATTGTGGCCAGAATTTTTTTTTTATCTAATCTGAGTTGTCAACCGATGCCTGCTATTACCATAATTAGGCTATAGGCCATTGCATATAGAGAAGTCGTTCGGAGTAAAAGATCAAATGAGTTTGGCGAAATAGATTAAGGGACATTGATTCCAATGAAAAATGGCCAATAAACAAATTGGGTCATTTGCAAGCTCATCAACACATCGCAATCCCATAAACAATCGATCGTTTCGCGTGAATTTCCGTTGAGCAATCGAATGTGCATATGTGTTAAAAGAAATATTCTTCTAATAAACAACAATCTATAATCAATAAATGACGAATAAATGAAGGCAATGGGCAACGAAAACTGTAAACATGGCACAATTGTCGCCTTACATCGGCTCATTTTTGTCGGTACATTGATAACACACAACTGTACAAAATGGGAAATTAGTGTCGCTCACTCTCTCACTTGCCGTATCGTTCTCCATCGAATCAGTTGGGCACTGCGTGAATTTCATCGCACAGCCGCATTTTAATTGATTTTTATGTTTATTTTTAACTGAGAAAAAAAGAAGAAAGAACCCAAAATGTTTACAGTAAAGTGCAAAGCGGATTAAGTGAGCATAAATAATCGGCGAATGATTCATTCGTGGAATTTAATGACAAGCATTTCATATGCTGATTCCTGCCACAATCTCTCTCTCTCTCTCTCTACGTAAACGGGGAAAACGGCAGTCGCAATCACAACAACTCCAGCTAATAAAAGTGTTAAAAGCATTCGGAACTGTAAAAAATGCGCGTCAAATTGCCTTGGCAAAATAAATCGCTACTTGCTCTCCGAGCTCTCAAAGGCGAACGAAACTTATTCCGAGATAAACGGCAATTCGGTGAAGCAATGAATAAATGCCTGCTCAGGCATTTCCATTGTCTTTCTTTTGTGCTAACGCTACTGTTGTTGCTGCTGCCGAGCGCTTTTTTTTTCTTTGCTCTAACTCGAAATATTGTCAGTTTTAGCACAATTAGATTTAGCAACCGAGCGTATTGCACGTGAAATAAGCACAAAAATAAGTGACTTTGTCTTGGCTGACGAAACACCATACCCTCGACTGCATTTGCCAACTGACAAAAAACAATCTGCTGCTGCTGCAGCCTGAATAAAGATCAAAATAAACAGAAAACTGCATTCAAACCGCAGATTATTATGAAATTCAGATCGTTCGGCAGCCTCGATTTTCTACCTTTTTTTTCTCTTTTTCTTTTAAATAAAAGTTACATGGATTAAACAAAATTGGTGTTGCGAATTTCATAAGCAATGGAACATAAAACGCCATTTTCATGGGTGTGTTCTGTTCACCCAAAGGAACATGACAAATTTTTGCGATCGCTATCGCTGAACGACGAAAAAAAACTCCATTAAATTTCATGGATAATTGCTTGAGCGATACGTATATGTACAATGTAATGGTAATATACGTGTTCAAGCGAAGCAAAAACCCCTTGAAAATATTGCAGTGCACTCGCATCACTGAGCTTCTTACATTTGCATTTTTCTCTCTGCTTTTTTTCTCGTTTGATTCTCGCATGTGTGTGTCTCTGGATGATTATTTGATTCTTTCTCAAAGAACATCTTGAGTTTGAGCTTCAATTCGATTCACAGCGACAGAACAATCATAATGAAGGTATGTTCTCTCCTACGCTCGTTGACGGCTCTCATCATCGACATTCACACAGTGCACTCAATCGTCCGTGTACAAGTCAAGATGCACACAATCACGCTCTCACTAATAAGCCAACGCTCGTGTGTGTGTGTGTGTGTGTGTGTTGTGATTATACACACAGCATTATTTTTTTCGTCTTCTTCTTCTTCTCCTGTTGTTGTTGCTGTTTCTGTTCGTTGTTGTTTCGTTCATGTTTTCTGTGTTCCATCTTCATTTCTTTTGCCTCTCCATTGGCTGCTTCAACTGTGTGTATGCTCATGTTGGTTGTGTCGGCTCGTACAGCTCAAAGTCAGATAGGTTTATAGTTGGCTCATGTAGTGGCTTTTCAGTGTTTGCTATGTTCGGTCGTTATTTACAACACACGCGTTTACTTTTTGCATTTTTACGTCCAGATTCAATTAAGCATCAGCTCAGTTTGTTTCGGTGTCCCGGTGCTTTGAATTTATAAAACCAATAAATTTTCATGGGTTTGAACAAGGTAGACGAAAGAGAAAAAAAAAGAAAACAAAAATAGTCTAATCATTGTCAGTGAATAGAGAGAAATCGTCGTGTAGTTCGTGGAATTCCAGTGTGTCGTGCGAGTGAGTGGTGGTGTTTGTCGTGAATGTTTTGTTTTCATGTTGTATAAGCGATTGTTGCCTGAATTTTTCGTCCGCATACGCAAAACCCATTCACACAAAGTGCTTCGAAGAACCCAATTCCGCGTTCAGTGCACTCCTGCAGTAATAACGTAATATAGCCAAGCGAAGAGTTGAATTATTATCTTCTACTAAGTAAGAGCCTGAGCGACACACAAGAACTGAAACCGAAACAGAGAGACATCGAGTGAAAAACGAACGATCCATCGTCGTGTTCTCAACAAGAATTCACCTATTTTATTATCGCTGTGACTCTCTGAGAACAGGTTTGAAAGTTTTTCCATACATTGAGCCATACTCTCTTACACACACCGCGCCGCGTGTACACTTCAAACCTCCCATTACACGTATCAACTAATAAATTGAACGTGACGCGCTAACGAAAAAAAAAAATTGTACAGAATCGGTGCATTGCAACTTGTTGAATGCAAATGGAAATCGAAGATAGCGCGCGCGTTGATTGCATGTGTACGAAATAAATTGCCGTGCATGTAATGGTTTCCAGATTCCATTCGATCGAGTATCCAAGAGAGAGAAAAAACGTTACAGCAGCATCAGCAGCATATCAATGCAAATGGAATGATTATGATGCGAAAAAATATTTGTGCAGAATACGAATTGAAGTTTGTGTGTTGAGAGGGAAGCTAAACGAAACAACAACAAAAAAAGAGGCTGTTTTTCGTGTGCGAATGGCGACCAATAAAGAAGATGAGCCATGAAAAAAATGCAAAAATATTGCATTTTTTTCTCTGTGTACGCTCGCAATTGTGTGTTCTAAAGAAATGCTTGGTAGACTTAGTTAATAGTCTTCACTTCTCTGGTACTGCTGCTGCTGCTGCTGCTGCTGCTGCGTCAGTTGGCATTTTCTGCATTCGACTTTGTGGCATTGTTCATTGTTCGGTGCTTGAGTTTCTTTTTCGCTGGAAACGCACTTGAAACTGTCTTTGGCGTTTCTTCAAATTATATGTCAAGTTGCGTGATGCTTATTACAAAGCGATCAAATAATAATGAAGGGTATTAACATTTTGCGTCATCGCTGCTGCCCACCTTTATCAAAGGTGTAGATAGCAGCGAAACGCATACAAATCAAACAGAAAAAATGGTTAAAAAGAAACGAAAAAGCGAAGCAAAACTGCCAACGCGATGGAAGAAAAACTTGGTACGCAAAAGTACGCAGCAAAATTTTGTTGGTTGATTTAAAAAAAAAAAGAGGAAACAGAAAAAAAAACTGCATGGCATCATCGCACTCTTGCGTACACACTTTGTAAGTTGATTACGACTATTTTCGTAGCAAGCGATGCATCAAGCCCCTAAAAGCGTTTTTCTTTCGTTCAAAAAGAGGAAACGAAGACAGAACAAACGAAACCAAATGAAACGTTATATCGATGGCAAAAGTCACACACAGACATAGAGCCAAAGTGAGTGAGTGAGTGAGAGAGAGAGAGAGAGAGCGGCGCGGGCAAACTAGCGAAATACTATGTGAAAATCGGTTTCAATTTTACTCAAGAGATGCATGAACCAGTGAAACGAGACTCGCACGGTTCAAAGGCATGCTTGTGCTCCCCAAGTTTTCCCATTGAGCATTCGGCCAAATCGTTTATAAGCGCACATGGAAATGATAATCATGAGCATTATACGTATGTGAAATGTTAGCTAGCTGCCGTGATTGCTGTTGCCGTCTACATTTCATGAGTCTTGCCCGTCTCCCGTTTCTTCCGTACATTGTACTTCGTTAGCATTTTTGCACAGAGGCTAGAAAATATCAGATATCGTCGCCGTTGCTGCCATACCTCATGGCTTATGCAGTGTATAAAATGTTATATTTTATATTTTATATTTTTCGCTTGTTTGTTTTTGCAACTGAATTCCTCAAATTGAACACTTTTCTCGGTGTTCACATGCTAAATTGGCCCTGCCACTTGATTCAGTCACACGTTCCAGTCTCTCCAGGTGACATCAAGCCAAGTCACAAACACACACACACACACACACAATCACAACCACATTCTGTGCTCTGCATTCGAATATTGATGATTATTACGTACGTTTCGTTCTTGTTATTTCGCGTTCATTTCGTGTTCTTTTCATGGCTCGGAATTCATGTGGTGTTTGTCCTAATTTCGACACAGCGATTTAAATGCTGCGGCTCAAGTTGAACCGAGTTGAGCTTGGTGTTTGTTCCAAATACATACATAGCCTTTTTTCCCTTCATTACATCAATTTGCATTTGGAGCGTGTTTTTCGGTGTGTTATTATTGTAGTCGTCATGTTTCCGTTATTTGATTTTTGATATGGACATGTTTGCCTACTTAGTTTTTGGTTTGACGTTTTTTTTTCTAAGAATTTTCAAACATTTCATTTTCATAACTTCAGGAAAAAAAAATCTAACCGTACCTGTTTTGACTCCATAGAAAAATGAATTTTAATCATCTAACATCGGTGTGCGTTTCGAATTGAATCAATGACCATTTCGAATCTCTCTATTTTTCATTTAGTTTTCGAAGAAAATTTCGGTACTTTTACGATGGTGTGTGGCCTAAACACTAAATCATAACAAAGAATGCCTATTTATAGTGGCGCAATATATAAGAATCGCTCTGAAAATAGAAATGCAAAGTGGCTTCAGCTAAACAATTGTTGAATGGGGTTTGTCAGCGCGCAAAACAATGACTTTATTTTCTATCTTGATTTCACAATTTCTATTTCGCTAAACCTCAAATCTCTCTCTGCCTCTCTCTCCAATGCTGTTTCCATTACACAAAACGCAATTAAAAGCTAAGCAGAACGCATAATCACATACGAAATCATCATTTCATTTTACGCGGTATCATCACACCATTTACGGTATGCTGGTATGAAGTGAAAGACACCGAAAAATACAGCAATTCGGTCAGGTCCATTGTTGTTGGCTTTTAATCCCACGGCAGAGCGGCATCAACAGCCACCACACACACACACACACACACACACACACACACACACACAGGTCACACACATTTGCATTGAGTCGTCGCACAATTGACGCAAAATTCCATTCACACAAACGAATTCACTCCGGATAAATCATCACTTTTCGGCCATAAATATGTTTTTGCGAGAGTAAAATTGAATTGCTGCCGAGGTTCAATGTTCGTGTCGACACATTACAAATAAAATGCCAAATGTTACCTCTTCGAAGGTATTCACATAAATTCGAAATGTTTTTATTTTGGCGAATGAATTGAAGAAAAAAGCAACAAAACATATGTGGCTGTTTTTTCTCTCTCTGTGTCGATTCGAGTAAAAGTCATTGGCCCGATGAGCAGCATGTTTCGATGCATATATGGCGATAAAACCATTTTCAATTCGATCTTTTGTGTGATCAATTATTTGGATGAATAAAAAACATGGAATAATCAAATAACCGATCGATTACTATGAAAAAAAAGCACAACTTTTCAATGTGAATGAGTCGAAAACTGTTCTCTCGCGACTCATCAAAGCAAACAAACACATATGAACAAAATAACGATTTAGCCTCTGGGTCGCAATTTCGAGAACGATTGTTGTCTTTCTTTTGAAATGGAAAGAAGAAGAAATTCTGTTTTTTTGGGAAGAAACGAAGCGAGCTAAATTGATAAAGGCCTCTCTCTCAACAGCTGTTGATTACACTTTTAATCATTTGCATATGTGTCGATGCCATTAAATGAAATCCGGTCGAAATGCCACTGGAAAAAAAAAAACAAAACGAATTTTTAGATTTTCTCTTTTCATTAACGTGTGGATCTCGACTGTTTCTACCATAATGGCTTGGCTTAGCTTGGCTTCTGTTTCCATTCTCTGCCAGATTGTGACCGGGAGATTTTCTATTTCACTGGTATAATCGTTAAAAATTTATAATTCATTTAGCAAATGGTGGCTTTATTTTAATGTCGATGGGTCGACCTATAAACGAGCGAATGAACAAAATGGAAAACACGGCGTGGAAAGAAAAAAAAAGAACGTGAATGGCAAATAAAATTCCAAACATACAATTATATCGTTTCGATGCGTGTTTTTTTTTCGGCGGATTTGAATAGAAAGTGCGAAAGAGATCGACGATGATGATGTTGACGTCAACGACAACGACATTTCCATGCGAGAACGAATTTTATTACCGTAATATGCAATTGAAATGAAGTAAAATAAAATGAAACATTTTTATTTTTCTTCCAATCTGCATTCGCAATAAGCGTGAGGTGAAATGAACAATGAATGGATTTGGTTTGTGCATTTGCACCGAATGATAGGTGTATGTGAGTGTACAAAAATGAAATATTTGAGATCGGAATTTGAGATTATGCATTTATGCTTTGCGATTTATATTTTTCCCGTCGTCGTCGTCGTCATCATCGTCGTCGTCGTTGTTGACTGGGCTCGTTCAAGATATGGGGTTCAACAGCAAGTTACAACAAAAAGTCAAACGCAGACAACGGTGTGAAGAGAATGCACTAATTTTAATGTTTTTTTTTCTTCACTTGCTTGGCTTTGCTTGGCTTTACGCTTACAATTTAGGGCTTTCGAATTGGTATTTCTTCAAATCAGTTGTGAGTTCGTTTCATCGCTTGATTACTTGCGAACAACTGTGGAGGCGGCATTTAGTAAAGGTTTTATGCATCTCTTCTCACCGATATCTCGCTCATTCGTTTACTTGCTCGCTCTGCCCGAAAAAAAGAGCCGTTGCGTCGAAATGAAAAACACATTTTAAACACCAAAATGAGTGAGCTATTTCTTTTAATTACTACTAAAGGCATCATTTGAGACAATGAATGGAGCAACACTTATACAATGGGAACATAAATCGTTATAACTTATGTATCTCCTTTTTAAGATCAAACTCATAACGAAACATAAGCCATGTATAGTATATAGAAGAAGTGAAGAGAAGAGATACAAAAACTTTCTCACTTTTGCCAATCGAACAATTATAGCAGACGGAGAGCGCGCGCGTAGAAAGGCTCAACATAAATTATGAAATTTCGGGCGAGAGAGCGAGAGAGAGAGAGAGAAAGAAGAATTCCCGCCGTTTAAAGTGAATGGACTGTAATGAAGTAACCGAAGTCAAATTCGTAAATTACTTTGATTATATTGTTATCAACGTGCAGCGCATGTGCATGCGGCCGAATGGAAAATGGCAAAAATATTCAAATAATTGCTACAAATCGAGAAACGAGTGCGCACTCGGACGCGCACACATTGCAAAAATGCCAAAACTTTTAAACAACGAACGCACCATTAAATTAAATTAAATTGGTCGAATGTGATTATGGTAATGTAACGGAAATGCAGTTGGTATTCCGTTGATTTGTTTGATTTTGGTGTGGAGCGTAAATTAAAACAAAACGAAAAAAAAAAACCATTTCAAATATGGTGCATTGAAACACATCGCAAACGATACCGTTGAATCGATCGGCCTGAACAAAGACGGCAAACTAAAACAATGAAATTGAACAAAAAAAAAACAAACACTGAATTAGTTTAAATGTTTATTTATATCTATGGTTATTACAATTTATTTTGCATTTAATTTTAGGTTAAATGGTACACGATCCGACTGATTATTATATCATAAGCGAACGCATCAAAAAGCAATGAAAAAGTCGAAATAGCTTTTGTGAAAAAAAGGAAGCGATCCGTGCAGCAAACATATATGTAAGCCTCAACGGAAAATACGAAAAGCCGAATAAAAAATCGCCCGAAACGAACAAAAATCCAAATCGAAAACAATATACGAAACGAAACATACGAACGAATGGATAATTTAGATATAAGTGATTCATTGTCTTCATCATTTCCGTGGTTGCCATACGGAGCATCACAGTTTGACTATCAGAATGGCGAACTGGGCTATTTCTCACAGCGCAGTGCCATGCTCGAGCCCATCATCGAAGAAACTTCCGACGATGATGATGTAAGCTGCGGTCATGTGTGGACACACAATGATAACCAATGGAGTTCAGAGTCCGATGCTGGTTCAGTGATTCGTGTCGAACTCATTCAAGGTAACGACTAAACTATTCCTTATTCACGACATACACAAAAAAAAGAACAAATTCGATAGACTCTCAATCGTTTGTATTCAGAAATACAAAACATTCGCTTGAATCTGTTCAGATTCATTTTCCATTTCAGTAAATCGAAAGTGAACGAAAAAAAAACGCATCCACTCAATCGAAAGAAATGTAAAATAGTGGCAATCATGTATTATTTGCTGTGAGCCACCTCGCCTTTGGCAAATATCATGCAATTTCCATTTAGACTATCCCATTATTAGATTGCATTTCAAAATCCATTGGAAAATAGTACTCACATGTCTGTTTTTTTTCTGTTTGCAGCAAATGAATAGCTTATAAATTTGATTGCCACTTGTGTGCGTTTTTTTCTTCTTCTTTTGTGTGCGTTTTTTTTAACGTTAAAAATGCTAATCGAGTTTACATTGCATTTGTTTCATGCACTGCACACGTCCATTGAGACGTGTGTGTGTGCAATTTTGCACACTATTCTCTCTCTCTCTCTCTCTCTCTCTCTCTCTCTTACTCGCTCTGTCTGTTCATGCTGATAATGATGGGCAATTTCATGTATACCATATCTATATTGTTTGTAATGTTCGTGCACAATTTCAGAAGCCGATACCATCTCTTTAAACTCGGAAAGGGATTTTGCCTGTCCACCAAAGCGTCGAAAGCAAGACGAAAACGATGAAAACGTAGTACTGCGAAAGTCTACATTTAGTGATGACTACAAATACCGAATCGATCTCCTCGAACCATCAAATGCCGATGCATTCACAAAACGGTAACGAAACAAAAACACAAACATACCATCGATTTTCTACAATAGAAGAAAATAGATGTGCATTGTCTCTTTTGCCACTGTCAGAATTCCTTTAAATGGAACATTTTTTTCTTTCAGATTTTGTATAGACCCTCTGAATTTCGATCGATTCTCTGATCCAGACAGTTTATCGTTTAACTCATTAAGTCGTTCATCGTCTCTCATCCAGTTCGAATCGCTGGAGCGTCAAATTCAAACAAATGGTGATACATTTGGCGGTTCATCACCATTTCTCAACCATTTGGCCGCGAGTCAAGAGACAAACAATAAAGCCAACGTCGAATTCATTGCCGCTGCAACAACGAAACCCAATGAAAATACCAACGATACAAGCGCATCGCGCAATTACTATGACATTGAGAAGATCGATTTTAATTCGGCACTATTTTTAAACTGTCAGGAACAGACAAGTTCATCGGAGTCGAGCTACTCGACCGACAACAGCATTTACTATTCGGATAATCAAACCGATGTCGAACCGATTGCAAAGGAACAGTTGCAACGCACGACACACAATGCAAAAATGGCATTTCGAAGTAAGAATTCGGTTGAGAATCTCAGCGAAGATAGTGGCTATGGTGAATTCCCATCGATAAAATGCCGATCGAAGAGCATTCCGAATCTAAATCAAGATCAATTGATCGAAGAAGATGTGAATTTGGATAATCACCGTAGTCTAAATAATATAAGTAACCGCACTTCAGCGACGAAGACGAAGAAAACGACGACGTCGTCGTCAGCCAGAGAAAACGGTTGCATCGCACCAGCAGATAGTTCAAAAATAAACACGACACATGCCGAAAAAGTGTTCGGTGCGTCCAAAAATAGCGATCGTGTGCGCAATGATTGGAGTGAGCATGTTTTGTCAGCGCCAACAAACACAAATGGCGTCAGTAGTAAAAAATCTGCTTCGTCTACATCGTTGCAGAACACACAATCAGCCAGTTTGCCAGATATTTCAGCTCATTTTGCTGACGATTACGGTAATTAAATCACTTTTTTTTCATTCGTACTCCACGCAATACAATGTCCTTTCGAATCGAATGAACTTTAAACCAGGAAATTCTATCCCAATCCAATTGAGTTAGTCGACTAATTTTTCCGTCTTTTTTTTCCTGATTCTCATTTTACAGATACCAACGAAACGATTTTCTTCTGCGACACCACGAATCCCAATCGAAAATCCAAACGAAATACTGTGTGCGGTGATTTGTTGAGTGAACCAGCCTCGTTGCTACAGAAAGATTCATTTAGTGTGGCAAGTGTACCGAATAATTTGAATATCTGCTCATCGCCGTCATCGTCGTCGCAATGTTTGAGCAATGGTGATTTTGGTGTGGCGTCACGCGAAGAATGCTGGACATCAAAGAACTCACGAAAACACTTTAAAAATAATCATTGGCAAGAGCCAAAGTTAACCACAACAAATGCTAACGACAGCATCGCTAGTCGCAATTTCGATTTGGCACAAGCATTTGGCGGTATCGACTATCACTGTAGCACAATCTCACCGTCCGCATCCGTTCAGCAAACATTTCAACAGCAAAAGATCATTAACTCAAGCTACAGTAATTTAACGCTTTTAGACTATTCCGGAAGTACGTACAGTATACGTAATCAATTGCGTGCGATGGCAGAAAGTCAAAAACGAAATAGCACATCAAGTAATCGCAGTAGCAACGGCAGCACAGGCAGCACTGAATTCAGCAAGTGCAATTTTTTGTTGGATGAAATTTCGGCGCATTTCGATAAAAGCCTCTCGATTTTGAATGACAAAGGCAGCTTTGAGGATGAAACGGACAATGTTTCGCATGCATTTTCAGAGGTGAAAGAGACCGTTCCGCGTGAATTGAAACCTCCTCAGCCACCGCCACGACGACAAACTAAAAAAGCCGTTTCGAAAAGTGAACGTGAATCCAAAACTGATTCCGCTCTATTGGAACAGTCTTCGAATTACACTTTCGATCGTGATCCAACAAATTTGAAAACATGTTACGCAGAGAGTTTGGAACGATGCAATGTGGAATTCCAGTCATCGAACAGCATTAATTTGTTGGAAGACAACAGCACACCAATTCAATTCAGCCCAGTGAAACATTCAACGCCCGCCAAACGAGAAATGGTCGCCAGTACACCGAACCTAATCCAGCATCGAACCGATCGTGTCGATACAAGTGAAGAGTGTTTACATTCATCAAGTGCCTATAATTCCTTAAATCCCTTGCCACAATCCGATGCACCGCAGACGAAAGGCATCTTATCGGCTGGCTCACGAAACTCATTGGGCAAAGGTGTCAGCTTTTATCCCTACGTCTCACAAATCAGTTGGCATGAACAATCATCGGTTGAAGACGCAGCCGAACCAAGTGATAGTGAAATCAGGTAAAATAGTCAGAAATGCTGGCTTAACATTCGTAAAAAGAAAAAAAGAAGTTAAAATTCCTTTTTAAAACCGTTTAAGATACTGAATGAAGTTTGTTGTTCGTTGTTCAGACTGAAAGAGATCTTAAAAAAGGCACCGACACGACGCTATAAAAAAAGAACATATTTGTACACCAACGGTGAACTTCCTGCATTTTTTCCGTCTCCCTCTCTTCTTCGCCTTTAATATGTTCGAATGATTTAATGTGAATTTTGGTTGCAGGTAGATTGTAGAGAGACCGACTAGCAAACATCAAATTCCGATTGTACCAAACGAAAAATGTTGACTTTATACAGTCTACTTGTGTGTTTCGATTACTTCATTCGTACAACGCAAAAAAAAACATACGTATGATGTCAGCCTCGATTTAAAGAATGTGAGATTCATTTGAATGTTTTGCTAGATACACCCATTCTCCTATTTGCAGAGAATGTGAAACTTTGTTCAAATGCGTTTTAATTTAAAGTCAATAGATGTAGTAGCCGCGTGTGTTTGTGTGCATACGAGTATCGAATCACACATGGGCACCGCACACACTTCATTTTAATTCTCTTGCTCGTTCGTTCATCGTTTCAACTTAATCACATCTCTTTCCATCTATTTATTTACATGCGCGCAACGACGTCGTAACATTTTACATCGTGTTCGTGCGCGCTTCAATATCTATCTGATTTAAATTGAAAGCAGAAGTCGGTTAAGGCAATACATCGGCTGTATAACTGAATGTTGAGTGCGCCAAACATTTTAAATAGACATCCAAGATAAATTTATCCGATATTCTCGCCGCACAGGAATCTCTTTGAAAATCTACCACACTATATAAATACACGCTGAATCTTAAATTGGATTTTTTGTTTTTGGATTCGGTGTTTGTTTTGTCTGTGAGATTTTTCTCTTGATTTTGACTACATTTCATTCCATGTTTTCATTCGGAACATAAATGTCAAGATCTTCGATAAAAACTAAAGAAAAAGAAAGATTACACGCATCCCAAGCGATTTGAAGTATGCAAAACAGACCTTAAAATGCAAAGTAGCCTGCGTAAATTTAGACCAAAATTGATTTAATGCCACTCTCTCTCTCTGCCTTCCATGTTTCATCAAACGAATCGTTGAGCAAACAAAACAGAGCATTTTCGGATAATTTCTGACTAATTCGATCAAGTTCAAATTCTTTATCTATATAAATATTCAAGACCTTAATCATAATTTTAAATGAATCATCTTCAAGCGACATCCATTTGATTGGTTGATAATAATTTTTTCCAATTAAAAACGTATTCTTTTAATCGATCGTAATTATTCGAAAACTTTTTTTTAAATTTTTTTGTATGCCAGTGAATTTTATGCTATTTCATTGTCGGTATAAAATCGGTGTCATTTTTAAGATCTATAAATTTATTGCATTGAGTGTATGGCCAATTAGGTTGATTGCGAGGGGAGAACGCGATCGACTGCGCTCGTTCAATTGAATGTAATCATAACTAATTGAAAATTCTAAATTCCAGCGACAATCGTAATAAAAATTACAACGATATGAATAATTCGTCGAGCAGCTCCGTTCAGCCACAACAACAACAGCACCAACCATCAACGGAACGCATACCAACGAGCGACAATGTAAACAATAACACAGGCTTAACTAACACAGTTGCAAGCCCCACAATAGCGTCAACGGCAACGGCAATAGCAACAGCCATGAATACGCACACAAACGAGACATGCGACACTAATGATTCCAGTGCGGTAGATAGTAGTGATGATGATTTGTACTATGAGACACAACCACGATCGTTAGCAGCACTGGCTGAGCGAGACAGACGACGTGAGCAGCTGTATCTACAGAAGCTAGCGAAAAGGCAACAGAAAGAGTATCAACAGCAACAGCAATGTATGAACACAAGCAAAGATCGTAATGTTTTGGTGGACAGTCAACGTCGAGACGGTATGTCGATTCAAGCGAATGCAATTGACAGCAGTTCAGCGATGATCGTCAATGAGAGCAGAGTGTCGGTCGCAAATAATAATAATAATGTGAATCGTGTGTCTAGTGGCAATGACATCAACCGTTTGAGTGCTCAACAGCAGCAGCAGCAGCAACAGCAAAAACTGAATAATAAGAGTAAAATTTTCGTAAATAAAAACGATTTGCGTGAGAATTGTGCGGTTAATCGAAGTGTTGTGTCGAACGATAGTCAAACGGCAAAAATAAAAGCAATGGAAAAATCGAATGTGAGTGCTATAAATGTGCCAGTGTCGCAAGCAGCAATAGGTAAAAGTGCATCAATGTTGTCACCGAAAATGAATAATTTTGATAAGAAAAATCACAACAATCATAAGCCTGGATTCTTATCGCGTTTTACGAATTTCCGTTTTTCATTGCGCGGCAATAGCAACAAAAAGAAATTAAAATCACTCGAAAATACGGCGCCACCGCCGAATGCTGCCAATAATATTGTGCTTGTGTCAACAAAGAGTGCTACACCAAACAGTCAACGCAACAATGATGTGGTCGATCATCAAGTGCCGATACGAAATAAAAGCAACAATAATAGTTCACGACCTGGCTGCTATCAACGCAACTCGATGCGCAGCAATGAATTTGAATATATACCATTGAAAGATCCGATTGCAGTCGTGTTTGATACGCCAAATCAAACAAGTGATAAAAATGTGGGCAATGTGACAACAGCAACAGCAGCAGCAGCAGCTACAACGAACAACAGCAATACGAATGCACCGACGAGAAATGTACCGAAGCATTTGAGGAATGATAACAGCAGCCAATTTATAGCGGCTGAAAAGAAGAATGTGTTGACAACGAAACCTCCACTACCACGACAACCTCCACGTGTAGTCGGTGTATGCGCAAAACAACCATCCACGTTGAATTCCACACATCCAAGCTATTATCAGCAGCAGCAGCAGCCACAATCGAACAATAAAGCGGCTACATTGGCACAATCAAATCCACAACGCGAAGGAGTAAAACGTCATGCGCAACAACAACAGCAACGTTCCACATCGACACCGCGCGAAATCAATTTCAACAACACCACTGATAATGGCAAGCATTTCCATTATTTGGCCAACGCTGACTATGATGATGAGTATTATCAGTTGCTTTCCAGTCGACAAGCGAACGAGTCACATTCGCGTGGCGGTCTCTTAAAAGGTGCAGTTTCAAGTGATGGTCTATTGATGGACGTGAACGAAAATAGTTTTTGTACGGTCGTTGGTGATGAAGAAGATGACGACGACGGCGGCGATGATGATGGTAAAATTGGTCTCATCGAAACGAATCTCGATACCGATGAAACGGTCATATCGGGCAAAACCCGAAGCCTGATGGAACTTGGCCCGCAAATGGCACATCGTGGTGCCAATGCAGTTCATCGACGTAAACATGGTGCTAATGGAACCGATCCAACCACCATCGAACCACGAAGACCCCATAAAAGTATGGAATTTTTATTGGATAAAGAAAATCAACGATTCGTTTTGGTAAGTTGAACAAGAACTTTCAATTAGAAATATAATTATTATTCAAAATCTAACTCGGTGCGCCGCGCACGCTTTCAATTAGAAGAGGAAAACCGATTTTGAAAACAATTGAAGAAAGAAAGCAAAAAGAAAAAAAAACTCGCAAACGGAAACAGAGGAAACGAAACGTGTTAGAATCTCATCATAAAAACATAGAGAAAAGAATAAGAGACAAAATTGTAAAAAAATGGTGTGACATACAAAAGAAGAAGTGAACAGTAGGGAAAAAAATAGCAAAGGAAGACAAAGAGCAAATCGACACGAAGACAAACGTGGAGGAAAGATTACATTTCAGATATATTCAGTGTGTCCGTTGTGTATCGCTCTGAGTGTGTCCGTTGTGTATCGCTCTGAGTGTGTCTATGTGTATGTGAATGTTTTCAAGCATTTTTGTGTTCCATGAATATATTTTCCATATTGAAGCAGCCACGTAGTCAGGCCGTATAATGCATTAGATGCCAAAGCGAATACAACTCATCGCGACTCTCAAACAGTTCTCTCGCTACTTCCAGTACATGATGTGTAGTTCAATTCAATTCAACTGGTATTTTCACTCTTCTTTCTCTTGTTGCTTTCCCGTCGTTGCCATCATCATCATCACCACTGCCATCGATGTAGTCAACGCTCTGAAAAATAATAAGAAGAACTGATTGCCAGCTTTGTGTTCTCCAATTGAAAATTTTTATTTTGTGAGCAGCTAGCTCACTTTTTTTTCGTCTATTCACAGTTCGTTCGTTTGTTAGTTGGTTGAAGTTCTTTGTGTGCTATGTTGCCTATACCGTATTCATATCATGGTACATAAATTTATGCTTCTATGCTCTTGCGTTTATAACGTTTACCAAAGCCGTGCACTCAATTTCAAATAGAAAAAAAAAACAAAACAAACCAAATAGTTCAACAACATCCTGTCCCTGTGTTTATGCATTCATAATATTTATTCCAATCATTTACACATACACGATGTTGTTGCTTCGTTCAACGCTCTTTCTCTCTCTTCGATGGAAATGCATATAATGTGTTGACAACAAAATTGAATCGACCCAGTGCGCGATTGTTGCAGCGAAAAAAGCAGCAGCAGCAGCAACAACAGCAACAGCACACGCGGCCAACAATAATTAGAATAAAGAAAGAAAAAAACATGGCTTTAACGAACGAAAGGCATAGAACATCGGAAGAGAAGCCATACTCATATCGAAGCGCAATTAACAAATTGCAAGCGGTATATGTAACATGCGACAATCAATACACCTCGTGGCGCGGCAGCGTTCAATCAGTCTCTCTTTCTCTGACCAATTACGTTGCTTTTGTATTTGCGTGAATCAATATTTTTACTCGATTTCAAATGAAATCAATTGAACAGTGATAAATGGAATCGATTGTATGTACAGCTACTATCTGATATGAAAACGCGCATCGAACTAATAATCAATAAAATGAGGCGATGAAGCATTGTTTGCTGTAACGGAATGTAAACGGATCGAAGCGTCCAGAACGGGCAAAATGAGAAGAAGCGGGTATGTGAGAGAGAGAGAGTTGGTGGTTTATTTTAATGTGAAAAGCGCGTATATGGAAGCCACACGAACACTTCATTCATTTTGATTAGGTGACGATTTGATGGAGCGTTAAGGCATTTATGTTGTGCGCCCGAACCAACAAAACTATCGCCATCACCAGCAACAACATCAGATTTTGCCAGTAAACACACGCATTACTTCCACTTGAGTTCGAAAAGCTAATGAAACTATCAAGACCGAACGAGCGAGCTCGCGCGTGTGATTAACTCGATATATGTATATATTTTTTCCCTCTTCCTCTTATTATTCGTTTATCGATAGAATCGACAAACTGATTCGATTTTCGCACCAAGACACCCGTTCAAAATCACTGCTGCCCATCGTACTCCGTCTATTTACATCACGAATTCCATTCCCAAATGAAAATGCATGACATAAGCGTGTTTATACTTGCAGCCCGTTTGTTGTTTTGTTTTTTCTCTATGTCATTTTGTCGTTTCTTTATCTATAATTCATGTTTTTGATCACGCATTTACACTCTGATACGAAATTTAATTTACGCTGAGCTGTAAAAATGGTCATGCCAACCCTAATACAACAACAACTACTCAGATATAAACAAAAAAAACTTATCAGAATGGAATTGCGAACTGCGAAATATAGAGCACAGAAATGATATCCAAATACAAACGAAGCTATGATTAAAATGTTCTAATTTTTTCGCATTCATTCAATGGCGTTAATTTGAGTTGGCTTTAATTTAATTGCCATTCATTTTAGTTTAGTCTGCATCAGTGTTGGTGCCATATTCAATTGACGACTCTTTGCCAATAAAATACACGATAAATATTTTAACTTGCAACAGCCTTATAACGACGTACTATTGTCAGAGATAACGCTTGGAATATTGCGGCTTAGCGGATTTGTCATAAAATTGTGAAAACTTCTACCCACCATATAAATTATCTCGCATCGACTCGCGAATTAACCTTCACATTGGTTTTGTTTGTGTTTTAATGATTTATTTGTTAATTTGTTAGTTTTCATTGGCCGAAATAAAGAGAAGAAAAAAAACAAATTCCTGGCACAATATTTTTTTATCATAACCTTTCATGATAAGCGTTGAATTTCCGCCTGAGAACCCGCTCAATGAAATTTTAAGCGATTTTTCGTGTCACAATAATTCAATATGCACGATTCGTTTGAATACGATTTCCATGCGATAGCGTTCAAAAGCCCAACAATGAAAATGGACGTCTCAAACAGCCGTTTTCCGCTTTTGATTGACTACAAAATGCAAAATTGAAATATACATGCGAACAAAACGAATCTATCACGTCAGTCAGTTGGATAGACAATCGGTATTTGAATCGGTGTGTTTTTTCCCCTCACTTCCTTTTCACAATCGGTTGGCGTTTATTTTATGTGTGTGTATTAAAAGAGTGAATTTCATCGATAACCTTCGGCAGATCAGCAACAATTTACATAAATTACGCTCTCTCACAAATGTATGTGGCTAGCTGGCGCAGCAATTTGGTGAAAATAGCAAACAGTTTCATACACATATGTAGTAGTTGCCATATCACTGCGCGGTTTATAGTCCATCCCTTGTGCACTCGTTCACTGATATGAGGCTAACATTCAAATCGCTCTGAACTCACATAAATAAATGATTTTGAAAGACAGAAAAAAACGACGGCAACAAAGCCCATGCGAACAACAAAAAAAAAAACGGACGAAGATAAAATTGGCGGTTGGGTGTCATTCAGCGGTTGAGTCGTCAAAGTAAAGCCATTGCAATCAATAGGCCATTGTTTGCGCATTAAAGTACCTCTTGCGAACCGTTTTTGGTGTCTTTTAATCGGAATTCACCAAATCGAGTTTTGAATAAAAGACTCAACACTTTTTTGCAAATCGTTAGCATAATAATCAACTAAATCGTCGATAATCGCAACTTAACTTAAAAATCACTTATGCATACATTGTGGATGAATTATGGAGAGCGCTCGCGCTCCATGTCACCTACACAAAACCCATTTTGATTTACATCGTAATTAAAAAAAAAAAAATGAAAATGGCAAAACGTCGTCGTTTTGTATTGACTTGTCGATGGTTTGATTTGCTTCCAACCAAAACAAAAATGATTACGTTTGCTTTTTGATTTCATGTGCGGTTTTCATCACCGTCATTCATGACAACTCCATCCGTGTAGCGCGAGATATATCAACACCGTTGACAACCCACGATTGAGTTGGAGCCGAGATCGATTTTGTTGTAATAAACAACACAATAGAGCGACCGGTGCACAAATGACGGCGCCTTGATAGATTATAATTCAAAACTGATTAATTGTTTTCTATCAGAATGGGGCGCAGAGGGACAGAAAGAGAGAGGTTGAAATTTGCGTGGCTTGAAATGCAAATTGTGCCCAGTAAACTAGCACACAGCCCAAACAAATGCATGTGCACATAAATTGTATGCAATTAGAAATTTCTCTCTAGAAATTGTATTTCCATGAAAAGAGCAAAAGAAAAACACTGCCGTTGCATAAGTGTGGCGTTGATTTTTCTCTGCGTGTGTGTAACTGGATCTATTTTCTATGGTTGGCACATAAATAAATTCGCAGAATACACTGTTCCATCCGCTTTAGTTTCTTTTTCACGTGAATACAGCTTTCCTGGTTGAATTTTGTTTTGTGTATGAGGAATTGAGTTTGTGGCCCATTTTTACTTTCTGCCTATAAATTAAAATTGGTGTCAATTGTATCATCTCCATGACAGATAACATCGAATGACAATTGAGCTCAATATTTCTCCCTTCTTGCAAAAATGAATTTTTAATAAACATCCTCACAACAGAGGTCAAGAATAGACTAATTTAAGAACGTACAACAAATGTTTCTATTTAATTTATTTCGTATGCGAACATATGTTGAAAATAAAAATAAAATTGACTCCTCGTGTGTGTGTGTGTGTGTGTGTGTGTGTGTGACATTCGCCTGAGATATTAGTTTGTTTTTTTCGACTTTGTATCATTTCACACTGTGCGGTGCCCGAAACAAAATGAGCAATCCAATGGACGTGGTTTGAGAAAGACATCAGATGTGTGGTATTTTTATACACACACTTTTTTCGATTAGTCATCAGTCTTCGCATCGGAATTATTTTGACACAAAGCGTTAATTCGTGCGCATGGCCACGTCACATTGGTTTCGATATTGTCATTAGATTGGATAATGTGATGGATGTAGCAATGAATTGAATGAATAGATAACCCGAACGCAACAATAATGTGAGAAAAGTGAATGAATCGGATACTCTTTATTACGAACCGAAAGCGGCACGCACAATAGCAGAAAAAAGCAGCAACATCGGCAGCAGCAATTGTGTGTTAATTTAATCGTCTGTCTCTCACTCGATGCGCACAAAGTACTCCATTGTCAATGTT